TGGACATGTTGGGGGGTACCCCTCGGTCTCATTTCTTGCTGGGTATAACTTATCTTAAGAAGACCAGATAGGCTATCGCAACGTGGACTGTTGATGAATGAATAAAGCTTTTTTTCTGTAGTGACGGGGTCGAATGATAAAAATAGTTCGTTTTCAGAAATGGAATTGAATGTTTTTCAAGAAGAATCCATCTGTTGCAATGGAAAAAAAATGTTCTAGAATAGTCCCTCTTGTCGTCCAAGAGGCAGACCAAGAGAAGGGATTCGATCTCCCTTGATATCTACACAGCGAAAGTACGTACAAAAGGAAATCTCTCGATGGAAGAAGAACTGTCCGTTTTGAAGAGATTTCTTTTGTTCTGTTTATTTTGTCACAATACAGGCCTATCTAACTATCTAAATTGTATCAACTTGTAGCTCGATTATATAATAATCTCTGATTAGCGAACAAAGCGTCCATTATTTATCAATTCTGTGGAACACCTTCTCATATCGACAAGAAAAAAAATAATTACTTGGGCATGTGAAGAGAATATAGTGCTTCGAACTTCCATCAATCAAGATAACACGAGATTCCTATAACTTATCTTGATAACTAGAGCCCAAAGGCATAACCTAGTGATTTCTTTTGCAGAGTGCAAACGGTATTTATAGAGATTTCAACCCCAAGTACATGCATAGCACAAAACCACTGCCAACACACCATTTCATACGTTACTGTCTTTTTCTTGGGGGATGTTTCGAAAAATTAAAATCCACGAAAATACAAGGAAGGAAACACCAATTACAAACGGGGAGGAAAAAGTGGGTTTATCCTCAAAAGGTATGAAAACCCACGCAGGGACGGGACTGACTATCCAATCACTGCGGTACCGTTTGTTTGATTGGAACCTGGTACACCCACACCTCAGAAGTGAAGGTCACAAATTGGAATCCCACTGCAAAGACGTGACTGATTTTGAGGTATGTTGGTGGAATGCGCCGGGCAAGAACGGCCAAAAACTAGCCAGTGCGGTTACGTGCAGGCCTGAAGTCGGCATTCTTGTGTAAAATCCGCACAAAACCACCGTGAAAAGACTCTTCATACACGCTATACTAAATGTGTACTCGAGTCAACACCATCGTCTATAGTCAGCTCGAATCTAACCAGCCCATCACGACCCCCACCTCAGCCCTTCTAGCTTGGGTAGAACGCCCCCTCCCCCTCAGTCTAGGACGCTTAGGAAATGAGAAGTTCCGTGATGGAGACTTGTCTTTTGCTGCACGTAAAACGCTTAGTCAGAAAAAGGTGTGTAAACTTGTGTGGAACTTTTTTGGCACACGGTTGACCTCCTTCATATTGCCATTTTATTGCCTTCAAGAATTTATTTATTACATTTAATTTTAATGTTTTTAATACGTTTGAACATTCTGCACTTTTGTTTAAAATACTCACAGTATCATTCTCAAGTATGGCTTGTTAAGCCATAGGTTTCGTCGGCCTTTTTAACAAACTTTGATTAAACAAACGTGTTCCGTTTTGTAAAGTTTGGTTAAAAAAGACTTAAACTTACATTTTTGACACACAAAATCAAGAACAAGCTAGGTCGCGGCAGAAAGCTGAGGGAAATTCGATTATGTAAGAGCTTAAAGGTCCGTTATTTTGAAATTATTTTGGATTAGAGAGTGTGTAATCAATCTTATGTTATTGCTTAAGTAATTATTATAAGTTCTACTATTCCTGAACTACAAACCAAAAAAAAAAAACGAAATCGTTTATTAGTGTTTGAAAGACTGAAATTATCTGTTACATTTCGCGTTCAAGTTAAATTATGTTTTCCCTTAGATATCCTCGCTAAAATGTCATGGCGACCTTTGCAGTTTGCAGGATATTCACCTCCAAGCGATAGCTCTGAATGTTGGAAGTCTGCAATATCGGGCGTCCGGTACAGACTATAACGTAATGTTGTTTGCTGTTAAAAACTACGATGTGTCTGTCATAACACTTGTTTGCGTCTGTGGGCATTGTTTTGGCTTTCTTTAAAAAGATTTCCTCTTGTTTTGACCACTGTCTTATGATAAAATGAGATTTCTGTCTGGTTTCAAGAATTAGGCCTATTCCATTTTAATTTAATTCAATTCCGTGTAACTTCTGATGGCTTTGTCTGTTTCTGTTTATATGTTTCTGTTTATGTTGGATACTCAGTCAAGTTCAACACAGATTTTAATTTAGTGAATGATTATTTATTCTGCAGAGGGCGATAACACCAACCTAACTTTGGATATGAACAATTCGTTGTCTTAAGGAAAGTATTGTATTAACTGACTTTATTCCAGAAATGATATAAATCCACCTCTCCATGTTTTTTATTTTAACAAAAAAGGAGAAAACTTAATTATAATCATTAAAGCTCCTCGGATTTTCCTTGTTGTCAAAACACAAACACGCTTACAACTAAGATTATTTTGAAATGCAAATTAAATTTTACTTTAGCAACCTTACACAGACTCTGTTAATTCTTGTAATTAGCAACATTCAACCCAGGAGAAATATAACATTTCTATTAACCGGTCTTACCTGCAGCCTGCGACTGTGTTGTTAGACGTAGGATTCGTTTCTTGCAATCCAAACGAGGCATTAATCCAAGCAGACGACATGAGCAGCACAAATATCCAATTAACTCCTGCCATTTTCAAACAAAAAATTCCGTCACCCACAAGTCTTTGGCAAGAGGTTCCGAGTCGCTGTCTCTTTTTGTTGAGAATCCTGTCAACGTTTTTCGGGTTGAAAATTAAATTTTGTAGGAACCTCTGTCTTCTGAACTTGAACGAACCGCCAGGGAATCAAGTGTGTCAGAATATGCATGTAGTGGAACAGTGACGCCCAATGCTGGCTTACGTCCGAGACCGACCACAGTCTTCCGCTGTTGTCACTTCCTCAAAATACTACACTGATATTGCATCAAGGATGCCTAAGAAAGCATGATTCTTCTTGTAAATGATAGGTTAAATTGTGGTATAATTCCTTGTAAAATCATACAAACTCTTGTATCGGCGCACGCGAAACCAAATCGCTCTGAGTAGGGCCTATCAGGATCGAATGCTGTTCGGCCGATGTCAACGGCTATTTCCTGTTCTCGTAGTGGGCATACGTGCAGCGTACAATGGCGGATCCAGAACCAAATTTTCGGGAGGGGGTAATTATGTGGAAGGGAGACAAAACAATCAGAACGTTTTCATTTTTTACCCTTTAAGGGCCTTTCTGGGGGGAGAGGCTACATTTTAGGGCTTTTTACGTTCGTTAAAAGGGACATGAAATAGTTCAAACATCGCCTTTCTTTCTTTCTCTTTTTTTGTTTTGTTTTGTTGTTTTTTTAAGTCAAATTGTGGACTCTTGGTTTTTTGGTGGAGGAGGGCTAGGGCTCCATTGGCTCCCTAGATCCGCCCTTGGCACTATGTCATCGGCTAGATGGGTAGGTCACTGCGTAGTGGGAACTGACATCGAAGGGTCTTTAAACACCGGGACAGCCTTCATTCGTGCATTCGTGTAGTTTTAAAAATAGCAGTCTTGTTTTACTTGGTCGCCCCAGAGAATACAAGCTATGAATCATGTGCCGTGTTCTTCGTCACCTTAAGGGGGCTAGAAGCAAGGAAGGCTTGGCGTGCCGAAATACAGATATTAGCTTCACTGATGGTCTGAATCACCTCGGAGACCGTTGTGATTCAGAAATGTAATGAACTCATTATGTATTAAAGTAAAAGTGTTCCGGGCTGTGAAACTACATAATACTCATGAGCGAACGTTGTCACTAAATCGACAAAGAGCAATGCACTGTAGCTTTGAACTTTTTGAAGATCAGTTTTCGTACATATTTAGATTTGAGAGATTTCTGAAACTTTGATTAGTCGATCTTTGCTATTTGGGCCCCGAGGTAATTTTATTTCGATATGAAATTCCAGTTCATTGTTACATATTTCATCCAACTCTATGCTATCATATTAATATCCATACTTATATCATAAACACAAACAACACATAATGCTGTGGGAACATAGTGTACACTTTAAATTATGCCAAATTTGCAAGGTTACTGTACGACCAGGGAACAGTTAGGCGGACGAAATTAAGGAAATTCGCAAAGATAAACGATCCAAAAATAGACGAAAACTGGAAGCCCATGGTAAGTATGATGCTTCAACTAGACTCTGCAATAATCATAATCCAGCTTATTTCATCTTTTACATTAGGCTTGAAACTCACGGTTCCAGCTATTTGTGAAAATTTCGTTGCCTGAGATGTCTACTGCAAGGGATATTGTTTTCAGTATATTTAATGCAGGTCATTTAACACAACTCGATGAAATTTTTTGTGAACTTGAGTTTTATCAGAAGTTCCTTTGTGATTTGTGACCAAGGTCACTCTAGTCCAAATGTAAACAAGGAAAAAACAAGGCAGAAAAATATAAGGAGGCTTGCATGACATCGGCTTATTAGATTTTGAGTACATCCGGGACGTGTGTCTCCAACTTTAGGTCACTGGAAATTGTCTCCTCAATTTACCTCCCGGTACTCAAAAGCTGGAAAAAGTGAGGTTGCAGATTTTGGTGTTTTGTTGAGCATTTAAAGTTCCAAGGTAACATTAACCTTTAGCAAGATATTTAAGAAGTTTGAGAACGGTTTATTTGATAGGACAGCCCTATCAAAGACTTAAGGCAAAAGAAAAAAATATGAACTGCTGCGGATATTGGGTAATGAATACAAAGACCCCCCCAAATCAGGGTGTCAACATGAAATTGCCGTCTGTAACTAGTTTGCGATGTACTCTTCTTCAAGTTCAAAAGCTAGCGCTACAGACATCAAGTTGTAAATTAATTTCCTGTCGTCTTGTTGAAAAGTGAAAGCTGGAGTCAAAGTCTAATGGACTGATTTCAATTTACACAGGAAGGACAATTCCTCACTTTTCAGGCATTAACTCCATCCAGCAAAAAATGAGAACAACCAGTGCACCAGATAAAAAAATGACTAATTCTTTTGTTTTTTTAACCATCTTTGGGTTTTTTCCAACGGTAGTTTCAAAGATCGTTCAATTGCTTCAGTTTAAGTACAAACCTCAAGCTATATCGCCCCGACAGTGTTTCCTGAGCCGCAAAGTAAGATTACTTCTGGCAAAGCAAACACATTTTAAAAGTCAATTTTTATCAAGCATTTGTATTTCTGTTTTGTGGGACAGTACTCATAATCATTGTGCGCTCGGAATTTTTGTTGGCGGTAATAAATTAGGGTGCCCTATGCCTTCCAATGACAGTGAGCTCAATCTCTTTTTTCTCCGATCAGTTGATCAAACTTTATTGATAAATAGACTTTGATGTTCCTTTTGAAATATATATGATGAAGTTTTCTGAAATAAACAGCGCCATCATGTTTTTAACTGCCCCTCCCTTTCCACTTCCCCATGCCCCTCCCATCCTCAACTACTTGTAAAAGGACAAACGGCTGGAAAATCGACGAACCTCACCGTGACTCAGCAACTTTACTGACGGCTCGCACAAAAGGCATAATTAGCCAAAGGTGCAATTAATCCTACAACAAAAAAGCGGGGAATAGTATTTTGGGAGAGGGCGCTGCACATCACAAATTCAGAATTAAGTTCAATGACGGAATTACTGGCTGATCCTAGACTGCATAGTGATTGTTGTTTCCTCAAACCATGGAGGTAGAATCACACCTTCCTGCTCAAACAATCCACGACTACAGAAAACGAAATTTGTGTGCACCATACATGTACATGTACAATCAAATTTCGCATACAGACTGGAGTTTACGTATTATGCCGGTAGAGGGATAGAGGGCGGCATTTTACCTATACATTTTCGCTCGATAGGTTTCAGGAAAGTAAATAAATTGTTATAGCCAACACTGATAAATACCCAAACTTCCAAAAATCAGGAAAAAAATACTCACGAGTTTCTAAGGCCTTTGAGACGCACGTCGAATTAAAGCCCACTTTGAGCCCAGAATATTCATTGTAGCTATCCTTTTAATAAGAAGTTGCAAATTCAGATTGTCAAAATGTAACTTGATGCAAGATAGGTTGTCATTGAATATTCAAATTGTATAAATCACATGATCACGTCATCGTTCATGCCATTTCACAAAATGTCAGTCTGAGTACAAGCCAGTGTTGGAGCAAGAGGTTTTGGACTTAAATATCGTTGGATTGGCAGTTGTTCTCATTGTCAGCCTATTTGTTATTTTATTACAGTGATATAAAATCCTCGCTTGTCCTGATGCTAATATGTTACTGTTATGCAGTACATATGCTGTCGTGTCGTGCCGTTGCATCGTATTACTGAGAGTCCTGCCGTCGCGTCGCACTTTCGTGTCCGATCGAGCCTTTTGCGCCGTGCCGTCTTGTTTGCGTCATGCCGGCGAACCATTGCGTCGTGCCATTGCCGCGTCGAGTCTTTGTCATGCTGTCGCCTCAGACTTGTTGCAATAGACGCGCCCGTACAGACGCATCTTGAAGACGTCGCCCTGTTCCCGCAGACTCATTAAAAATATCTATAGACCGACAATAGAGGGCGCAAGAGCGTAGTCTCTATAGGTTGCAGGCCAGTGAATAAACTGCCCTAGCCAACAGCGACAAATACCCGAACTTCAAAAAATCAGGAAAAATACTCACGAGTTTCTCATGCGTTTGAGACACACGTCAACTTTAAGCCCAGTTTATGATTTTCAGGGTTTTTTTTTCAAATTTCCATGCATTAACCGATGACTTCTGAAGATACTTATTTTCACGGAAGGTCACCCCTAAAATGCAGTTTGAAGCCCCTCGCCATTTTGAAACATAGGGCCCATCGATGCCTACACTTCTCGAAAAATGAGACCGTTTTCTGGCACCGGTTTCTTCCAAATCTCACTCAAACGCAATTCTCTTCCCTGGTATTCTCTTTGCCCGCCTAAACTTGTCTTTTCTACAAATCTTCAAGATCATGGGCCACAAAATGCTCTATGTCGTGGAGAATTTGGGTGCATACAAATTGTGATTTTACCCGCACTCAGTTTTCGGCCTGTTTACTGGCCTGCATCCTTTAGTAAACCCCAGTTTTTACAATTTCCCCGAAAACGAGTAAAACAGAGGGGAAAAAAGGTTTTAAAATAAGTTTGAGGTGGAAAATTGGAAAAGGTTGTCTCTCATCCAGGTTATGGGCCTATGACCTTGAGTAGGGCTGATACTGCGTAACTGCGTAGTTTGGCCATTAAGATAACGTCTGTGAATTTCCAACTTTTCAACTGCTGGAAATGATCGCTTGTGACTGCAAACTAGGGTTAATTTCTGTCGATTAGAGTTAAGTATTGCCGACTATAGATTCAAAATTCGCACACAGGGTTTGCCCTTGACGGGAGGGGGGCAGTACAGTACTCATGTTTTGAACCTCAGACTCTACGCTGGACCAATCAGAACTTTGGGTTTGAAATTTGGGCAAGCAGCCCATCACTCTCCTATCTTGTAATACCACATTACATCCACCAGTCAAAATATTTGAGATGGCCAAAGGTTTTGGCAAAAAAATGGTTACTTCCCCCTCCATCAGGCTCGAACATGGAGATGAAAAAGTTACTACATGGCGCTAACTTAAAAAAAAAACCAGGAATTTCATCTATAATTATACGTTTTTAGAAGAAATTAAAAGATTCCTCATTAAAAACATTACAAATGCAGGAGAAAAGTTTCTCAACTTGGGCAAGTGCCAGTCCTATCAAAAACAAAGCTTTCCGTTATTTGTACGTGATTACTTTATTCCGCCCGACTGTGCCACCCCTGGATCTGTTACGTCTGAAACATAAACAATCACTAGATACGCTACTGCCTTTATATTGAGATCACTTAGAAGAAATGAAACTCAAACACAGTTGGGATCCCTTTTATCGTCAAAATGAAGGAAATTAAGATTATAAATGCAGTAAATTAGCATCAATCCTTTAGCTCACCGTATTCAAACCTACAGAAAATTGCCTTGTGGGTTCTGCGCCCAGGGAAGTGAACAAATGTGGTGAGGGAAAAATCCAAAAGTTATGCGGTGTTCACCAAGCATTCAGGTGCACGGCCTCCTGAAAATCACAAGGAAGTCGCAGTTACCTGCTTCCATATAGGACTCTTCTGGGGTCTCGGGTTTCCCGGCCCACTGCACTTCCTCCCTGCCCATCCATGTTACCCCAAAATAGTTCGAGGGACCATGCAAGGGAGGAAACGAGACAAGCCCCTAAGCCCAGGCCGCCGAGTCGGCCATACGTCTCGAACCTGTACTAAGGTGCTCACCTGAACTTCGCGGACAGTCCCAACAGAAGAGCTTACCCAGTCGGCTAAGGTACTGCTGGTATTTTACTGGGGTGAATTTAGCCTCTTATAGCCACTGACTGACAGCAAACGTTGGGAAACTAAAAAGCTACCGCTGGGATTGGAACCCACCGACTAACGATCTCAAAACCGTGACCTTAACCATTTGGCCATTTCGAAGAAGTTGCTTTTCGCCGTTGTTTAAGGAGATTACAAAACCATTAATTTAATTAACCTTACTGTACAGAATGTTTCTGTGTGAAGACTGGGCGACTAAAACGGTACAATAGTGCATCATGTAGCAAAAATTAACGTTTTTTCCTGACCACATAGACGCAGGTCTAGGCCTACAGTTAAGGTCTGTGGATTGAAGTTGACTTGGCGTTTCATTTTCAAAGTGGTTAAAATATAAACGGGGTTTTACCTATCGCGTACACGGCCCCAAACCGCCTATAATTGTAGTTACACGGATGCACGACGTGACGTCAAGGAAGGAAGCGCGTGAGACAAGAGTATCTGCAACGTAATTGATTATGAAGTCTTTTCAGGCATTCGTACCAACTGAAGCATTCTGTACAAGGAAATAAAGCGGGTTTCTGTCCTCTTTATGTATCAATTCCCGGGAACATTTTGAGAAAGAAACAGGAAGCGCAGTATGGCTCCAACAAGTGACTGACCCTTTGACAGGCAATAGATGGAGCGTTAGCATTTTGGTTTCTTTAAATGAAACCTTTTGCCTATAGCCTATTTTTAAAAAGACAAACATTAAACACTAGATCTAATCAAATGAAACTAATCACATTATTTTTAGAATGTACATTCAAAGGCCGTTAATGAGTCTAGATCTATCATAATTATGTCCATTCTAAACTATTTCTTCGACGTTAAAAAAACACAAGCAAAGACGAGAACAACACTCACGTTTTTAAAATTTTAATAATGAGCAGATTTTTTTTCGAGAATGTCATGCAAACCTTTGACCGGTAAAACATGATGACACCTGTTTAAAGTAACATCAATTGCATTAAGTCCAACTGAGGGTATTTTTGCCTGTTTTCTCTGGCTCCTGTCCAAGTAATCTGCGCAAAAATCACGGTAAAATTGTACTTACGTCTTAGATGAGGAGTTAAAATGACTTGTGAAAGCTTGCAATATTTACATTTCTCAATGATCAATTGAGAATTCAATTAAAAAAAAAACCCATATTAACACACTGACGGCTTTACAAGAACCCGAACTTAACGTGATGGATTCACAAATAAATAGAGTTTTTCTTCCCGAAGAACAATGTGCCGTTTAATGCCAGACATGTATGACTGTTTTGAAGAGTTGAGGTGATGAGTATGTGAAATTCCGCAACATAACATTTCCTGCCCAGTGATCACACGAAGCGATAAATCCATACCACAAGCCAAGGTTGGTAACAGAACCAAAAAAGCTGGGCTCAAACCCAGACGTGAATTGTTCATGCACTTAACACCATTTTCTCTTCCAAAGTGCAAATACTTTTTCATAAAATGTCAATAAAAGATGATAGAAATGCCTATTTCTAATTCCGAAATGGCATTTAATCGCCCAATCGTGCTACACAAATTCACATCATTTTAATCAAATATAATTACTAAAAGTCAAAAAAAGAAAAAAAACACAGTAAACAAAACCCAACTCAGACACATCAGGAAAAGGAACCAGTGAAAACCTGATGCCATGTGCAAGCTATACATTGTAAATCTGAAAATACAATGCCAAATACAGCAATATTTTTGAAATGCAAACATTTTAATATTACCGTTCAGTTAAATTGTTTTCAAGTACATGTATCATGCATCTCTTCATGCATTCTTACAAACTCAATATTAAAATATATACAAATTATTGTCATAATTATTCCCTGATATTCTGACCTTTGACCCTTCTTAAAAGTAAATAAACCCCAACAATTCAAGAACTTTACTGTCCTCTCAAAAAGTGTTAAAAATTATTTAAAAGAATTGCTTTAATTCTTCCTAGGTTATTATTTGAATTCACTTGAAAATTACAATGCATTTCCAAACGAAATATAATTATTATTGAGTTCAATTGATCAAATGTAAATTTTGAATTCCAAAAATTATTAAAACATAAAATTGAGACAAGGAATATTTTCATGAACAAGGATTAGTGTGTACACAAAGCTATTTACATAACAAACCTGGTTCAGTTACGGTAATTCAAAACCATCTATAAGCATGCATTAGTAATTAATTTGACAACCATAAAAATACATGTATCTAGAGAGATAATGAAGTTGATGTTACATCTGTAAAGTTATTTTAAAACTAGAGCATTAGATTTTCACCAACACAGAAAAACTCTATACTGAATACACTACAAGTCAGAAGACTGTGGTGATAGTCTTGTTGAGAGGCCAGGCTTGGACTTCACACCCAATCCTGATCAAGACCAAAAGATTCCAGATCAAGACAAGACCCAGGCCTGGCTAACCGCTGACTAGGTCTAGATCCCCACCTTCCTGCAATGCTACCACGTCCCTTCATGTGAATACTGTGCAGAGTCACAGCGATATATTTCCCATGTTCTCCGAAATTTTACCGCACAGATTGGAGCCATGTCCGGAACAGCCTTCCAGAGCTACGGCTAGGTCTACTGTCTACCCGTCTCTGTGCATTTCCAATGGAGGGAAGACCTAGACCTAGCTCTAGTCAACAGATTCAGAAGCAGCCTGGCTCTGTCTGCTCCTACTCAATCACATGGTTTCTACTCCTGCATCTACAACTGACATTCTTCCGTGTCTTCCTAGCAACACAGCTACATTGCATTACTGTGATGACATCTATAGCACTTGTAAGGGCTACTGTCTCACTGCCGTAAGAAAAAACAACAAACAGGGATATTCTTCCCAATGCAGGCAACGGTTGACAATGTTGGCAAACATTCAAGAATCTTTAATCGAGAACCAAGCCAAGCAATTGCTGTCATCTCTAAGCCCATGCTTCTGGCAAAACAGGCAACACCCAAAGGGCATTTCTACGGCTGCATTCCATGTAAAAAACAGCTGTTGTAATTTTTTTTTTAAGTATAAATAATTCTCAGTGTTTTTACTGCAGTTCTGAAAAACTGAACAACCTATTAGTTCAGGTACATAAATATCAGTCCTGAATTCAACATCCACGACACCAACAAGATTTCTTTACATCAGTTCATTGTCAACACTGATATATTTACAACTTTGCTTACCACAAATAAAGATCACATTTACCCTGATCACTGAAACAAGTCCCACCTCAGCTCCCTTGGCTATATACACTGTTTCAACTATACAGTACCCTGGGTTAGGCCCTGAACAGTGGATGTATACCTGTGTGCTTCTGGGCAGGGAGGCACAAAGCAAAGTAACTTGCTCAAGGACAAAACTCATCGAGTCCGAACACTGCCTTGATATCTCCCGCGGATACACCATCTAGGAGTGGCTTGTGCATCGTTTCTGTTACGACCTCCAAACTGGATCAAGTTACATTTAATTTACATCAAGTATTTACATGCCTAGAAATAGGCAGGACAGTACGTTCCACGCACATGCACACAAATTTGAAAATTGAGCCAATCAGAATTAGGGACAGACCGCATTGCCTCATGCCCAAACACCAATGGCAATCTTAAGTGCTTTGGGGTTCTGCCTATTGTTATGTGTATGATATCATGCCAGGTTCCCAGTCTAATAGGCCATCCATAGCTCAGACCTACATGTATCTAGACACAGCACTTTCACACTGTACTTTCTAGAGATACGGCACAAATCTTGCTACCTTGTTTCTGCCCTTCTGTCTGTTGCAAGCAGTCCCCATTCCCAAAGCCTTTACCAGCCTCGGAGCTGGCAGCTCTGACGACAGTTTCTTTCTGGCTGTCACTAGAGGGCACTGTACCCTCGGGAATGGGCAGAGTCTGCTCCTCCGTCCCTCGGGACTGCAACGACATGTATGGGTCATTTTCTTGACCACTAGACAATTTTCTGCTCAAGTCCACTCCTGACAAACCCTTGTCGTTGGAGACAGGCTTCAAAGCAACATTGTTCCCATTGTCATCGGCACTGGGCAACATTGGGGTGATTTCGTTGACTTTACTGTCCAGAGGCAATGTCTCTGCATCTTCCAGTTTGAAGTACTGCTCGCTAGTCGGGGATGGCCTGGCTTCCTTCTCGGCAGAAGGGTTTACCTTCTCAGCAGCAGGATTTACCTTGAAGTAGTACGGATTCTCCTGCATGTCTGACCCCTCACTCAGTGGTCTCTGATCGCTCTCGTGACCGGTAGAATTCAGGGTGCTGGCCGGGCCTGTATGACTCCCCTGGGGCTCAGACAAAACGCTGCCAGTGACGCTGCTGCATTCGCTTAACGGCCTCGAGTGACATCTACACATGGGCTCAGTTGGAGCTACTCCTGGGGTAGGGCAAGTGTTATTCTTTATCAAGGGCATGTAGGGGTTCTTTGTACCATCGACTGCTGCCGGGAAATTATCACCTCCAGCAGGACGATCCAGGAGAGGTGCTGTAGCACTCCGGTCGGTGGCCATCTGACGGCAGCGGGGGCACTGGCCGACACCAATGGCCGCATTCACATCAGCCGGCCTTGCTTGGCCCTTGTTCAGCGCTTGGTAGGACGCTGGGGGTGGATTGGAAGGCGGAGGGTGGTTGCCAGGCAACTCGGGACGCTGGTCTGACAAAGTGGCTCCGTTACCGACATTATTAAGTCCATACATCTCATTGTGGAAGATGCGGTGGCCACTAGGGGGGAGTATTCCGTCGTTTGAAACAAACTGTTGACTGGTCATCATAGATGCTGCACACAAGAAAGAAATAAAAACAATCAGTGTAGCATACTTTCTGTATTTCAGTGATTTTCATTTCTGTAAATGGTTTCCACTCTTTGTGTGGTTTCGTATTCAAATCAACAGATGAAATGAAAGTGAAAATTTAAGTTCACAATTCAATCTGAATTGTCAAGTTGGGCCTTCACGAAGTACTATTTTTATCATTCAACACATTTTTTCCACGCATGTATTTACAGTCCATTGGATTTACAAGTCACGGCATAAGTAACATTGGCAAAACTGCAATCACTTCCATATAAGCAGCTCTTCACAAATGCAGTTAGCGATTGTCATTACAAAGCACAGTAAACTGCCCTCAATCGGTTATGCAATGCCCAAATGAAACTAATGATCCTAGCGGTACATGTAACTCATTCAATATCCAAGTCTGCCTACAGTCCCCAATACTGAATACTCACCTTGGCTTCTCAGTGTTCTCATTTCTTCCGAGTCAATGTATGCACTGCCCTCAATCGGTTATGCAATGCCCAAATGAAACTAATGATCCTAGCGGTACATGTAACTCATTCAATATCCAAGTCTGCCTACAGTCCCCAATACTGAATACTCACCTTGGCTTCTCAGTGTTCTCATTTCTTCCGAGTCAATGTATGCACTGCCCTCAATCGGTTGTGCAATGCCCAAATGAAACTAATGATCCTAGTGGTACATGTAACTCATTCAATATCCAAGTCTGCCTATAGTCCCCAATACTGAATACTCACCTTGGCTTCTCAGTGTTCTCATTTCTTCCGAGTCAATGTATGCATACTCGGATTGCTCTTGACCAGGCCTAAAAAGAAAATTGGATTAATTCTCACCATTACAAGAACAGTAATATGATTCTGCATCATTATGGCACTGCACTAGAAGATTCTTTGATGTAACATCGACAAATGCATTAGATATGGTTTACACAAGCTAAAAACAAGGTAATTAATTAATTATATCATCACACTGTGATATGTATCAAGCACAAAGTCAAGTACATTATGCCTAAGATGATTACTATTTATAACAACAAATATTTCATGGAAAATGATACGAACAAAGTTCAATATTTTTCTGTTTTGTACTTAAGACCAGCTTCAAAAATTCCAAAATACCTTTTCTGAGACCAGCCAAATTTTTTCATTCATCAAAAAAATCAAAGAACATCCCCCCAAAAGTAAACTTTGATTTTATTTTAGCAGAGCATTGCGCAAGGCAATTTGCAAAAAGGTTCAGGTCTTAAATATGCAGTCTTAGCAATGACAGCTTTGTGGTTATCCGACCATGTGGTGAACGCATTTCCATTCCAACCCCCAAAACATGCAGTCAGCGAATATGACTCGTCAGGCCTGGGCTAGTCTTTAATCTCCTTGGATGTGGAACGCCCAAAAATATTTCTAGTCCCTTGACGTTTTATTGCAGGTTAGACCTCATAACTTCTAGGAATGATTTTCTGCATACCTGTCTTAAAGAGGCAAGTGCAATTTTGGTAGTGAAATCTAACCTGACGTCATTTCTGCAGTTATGGGTGAATCAAATCCATTTTATGACAATGAGAGGTTTTTTATCCATCATCACACCCACAGTTTTTTCTGCACCAAACTGTTTGAAACTTTACAATGCATCTAAAGAGACCCATTGTGGCTACATCTGTGAATTTTAAATTCAATCCAACAGAGGATTTTGTCGTTACAATTACCAATAGTTCACATCCTCATTCATGTCAGTGGAAAAGGTTCACATTTGTTTGACCTGTTTCGGATATATGAGCTATTCCCATGAACAATGTGACTAACTTTCTTAAAACTGGTGCCGAAAACTGTGAGACATCACCAGAAAGTCTCTTGAAGGCTTTGCATGAAAAACGACCCTATGATGATATCAGAGAAATGTGTGGGGGGGGGGGGGGGTAGGGAGAGGGTGGAACCCCTCCGTGGGCTCTTTTAGGCTAAGCAGCACCCAAAAACCCACTGAGGTCAAGGCAGACCATGAATATTCATGACAAATAACAATATCTGTGACCCCCATCCTATTTCCTGTGAGGTTTTCCTGTTTTGACAAGTAACTAACCACCCAACCAACCCACTCCTAAACCAGGCAGGGTGGTGCACTGGATTCCTGACAGCAGAAAAGTTACTAGAGCACCAGGTGGAGGAAATGGAGCAAATCGCTGCCTTTGCTCAAAGCAAGAAATTTCATTAACATATCGTCACATACTGCAACATTTGGCCAGGTTTAAATGGCTTGCTGCACGGCGTTGATTTTGTTGTTTTTTCCGAGTACTTCCCGTCAAAAACACCAGGAATTTAACAGGTGCAAGTAAGCATGTCATCTGACTACAAACCAAAACTCAGCTGGCCAGTGCTAAAAAATTCCACAGAAACTATTCCAAGCCAAAGAGTTCTGGGCAGTACTGCTGCACTCGACATGCTTACTGAACTACTTCTTCAATGTATTTCACTGCTATCCATCCAAGGCAACATGAACCAATCCTACAAATTGAGTTGAAACATTTAAGGACTTCCTTGACTGTTTGTTTCTGCTTTATAATTTGGTATAATGTCCCGATGATAATAGAATAAGTGGATTAAAAAAATTGGCAGTTCCGTTTGATTTCCAGTGTTAAAAATTTGTTGCAATGCTTGTGAACTGAGAACAGTTTGGGCAGCCCCTTTTGTTTGTTTGGATCACAAATGACCTTACTCTTTGCCAAGGAAGGAACATCCCATTTTCATTCCAAATATTTTTTGTCATGAGCCTGCACGTTCCAAACATCAATCAAATGACTTTCATTTCAACTTTTTTCCCCTAATACACGTAAAAGACTGGAAACTTCTCCATTTCCCGGCACTGAAAAATAACTACTCCCAAAAGGAAACGCACCACTTTAACTTACAGATGTTTTTCTTTAGAGTCTACAAGCTTCTATTTAACCCCAAATCCTTAACCTGACTCCAAAAGTGAAACATTTTCATTTCGGGTGATCTCCCCGTCAACAAGTTTCAATAAACTCCATATCCTCAATCGATACCACAAGGCCTTAATCAGGAAATAACACTGTGCACTTGGTGACACCTCAAGGAAGCTACATATTTTTCTGCAAATTAGAGACAAGATTGGAATCCTTTCAGTTTCAAAAGGAAACTGGCCTAGAGCTTTGTTCTCATCGAGGATCCTTCCACAGCACTGATTAGCTTGGATTCATTTTGGAAGCCATTCAGAAATCTCTCTATTACTCACTTTTTGTTCTTCTTCTGACATTTTCTCTGATAGCAGACACAGCCAATGATGACCAGAACTAGGAAAGTCCCCCCACCCACAACGGCTCCTATGATGACAGTGACATCCGGCCCTTGGGTTGCTCCTGCAAACATATTAAAATGGAAACTTAACAATTCAACACAAACAAGAAAAATCGCTCTTTCTATATACCCTTTTCAAGTACTTATTTGCGGAAGCGGAACAACAAAATGATAAATTAAATCATAAATTCATAAATTTTTCATGTCTTTTGAGGTTAATTTATTTAGTTTGCCCAAAAATATCCTGTTTTTCAGAGTCAAAAAACTCATTGTTTGCACTTGCGAGTATTTTATTTCCATGAAAACTCATACAATACTACCATGAAAACTCATACAATACTACCATGAAAACTCATACAATACTAAAGCATACCTACATGTCAGAGAGAGATGCTTTCTGAAGATTAATTTATTAATTCATTAAGTCGGTAAGTTCAGTGCAGACAGTGCACATTGCTAAAAGTGGCTCTGGAAAGCATGAGCAAGAGGTCATGCTGCACAGAGACACCATGCACGTACCGTAGGGGGCTTTGCACCTTTCACTGCAGTGCCGTTCATTTTACGGCAAGTTTCTGGGGGTGTTGCTCCTGTTTGCTCACCGTCACTATTAACTAATTACTATTGATAGACAAAAGTTTGATTGGTGCCACAAGTGCATCATTCCAAGATGATAATGAAGGATGCAACTGTTCGTGTCTTACGACAAAGACAGCACAACATTAATTTCTGGCAAATGCAGAAAGACTTTGCAAAGCGCCATCATGAGTCATACTGACACCTTGGTTACTTCTTCCACGGTCTCATTAAAATTTATAGCGTTGACAGTCTAGTGATCACATTCGTCCATTTTTCATTATACCATTGTCTTGGTAAAACTTTCCCCCCCGCCGACACGGCTAAAGATGTGTTACAGTGAAACAGACAAATAGAACTACAATCCCCTACCTGCATCTGTAGTCATGGTGCGATCGCTGGGTTTAGGGGGGACAGGTTCCTCAAAGTGCACAGTTGGAATTGGCGTGACAGTTGTAGGGGGTTGTGGAGTAGTGGGATTCTTACTGTAAAAGTCAGGAAAACAATTTAAATTTTTCACTCACAGATTTCTCCTGATGACATTATTTATTCATGGGCCTGTACACTATCTGTACTTTGTCGACTCAGTCTTTGGTACCCTCCTACTGACTGACTTATCAAGTAATGGGCAGCTAGAAGTTGCCTCTTAATTGACATTTAATGGGTTGACCCCTAGAAACAGAATCCTGTTGGACCCCTGGTGTCAAAGCTGCGCCCTAACTTTCTGTTAAAATTTTATTCTCGCTTTATGGACCACTGCTGTTTCCGCACTTCATGAGAACGATGTGTTTTTTCAAACAGTCTGGTTCTCATGTACAGTGATGATACCCCATGGAAAATACAGAACTGATAGGGGAACATAACCCCTTCCTCCCAAAGTTGTTGGTAAAGGTTAAAGCACGTCAATCCCTTGACTACGGCTTGTACTGGGTCGATCCAGTCAAAGGAATTTTGTCAGGTTTGAGCATGGACAACATTATCACAGTTCCTAGGGCCCGGTCGGGGAGGGAGGAGAGATGCTGGGGCGTTCTAGGTTCGGGACAGGTATCCAGGTCTAGGGGTGGGGAGAATAAAATGGATATTCTTCCAGAAACAGCAGTTCAATTGTTTTCATTCAAAAAACAACATCCCCCCGGTGGTTTCTTAAAAACTTGTGCTTTCAATTAAGTATAAAAAATAAACCAGCAACCTGTCACATGGGAGGGAAACTTGGGCCCTGTTCCCCCCCCCCCGGATACAGCGCTGAATAGCAAAAAACTGCCTACTGGTCTTTGAAATATGTCAAAGATCTTAAGAATAATGACACAAATGGTCAGTCCCAGACCGTAATTCTTGTTCGTAACATTATTTTCATTTCTGATGTTTGGAATGTGGAGAATAGATTACGTTGAGCAGGAGCAGGTGGGACACATGTCCTCCAGGAGAACTGATGTAACAGCAACATCTTCGCTGAATGGCCAGACGTGGATGTCACCATTCTCTTGGGAGAAGCAAACCAGGTTATTCTGAACAGAGTACTCGCATCTTCTACAATTTGGGTCTTCAGTAGCACAGATACAAGCCACGTAGGACGAGCTAGGTCGACATCGGAACACATCTGTTGGAGGGGAATGAAAACGGGAAGTAAAAACTTCTCTGAGCAATGCAGAGACAAAGAAAAAAGAAGACTACCGGTAAGTTCTGAGTGAGTCAGCGATGCCAGGCTATCTTTGTGTGAGATAAGACCCCAGATTCAAAGCTACAGATTTTTTCATTGGTTTGGAAACTGTGCTTATACCCTGGTTCAGACAAAAACATGCAGAATTTAGGAAGTGCTGGAAGAAATGTCACTTACGCTGGTAACCCGTGGCAGGAGCATTTTTCCATTCATCACAGTTGTTCAGAAAGTCAAAGAGCTTACTTGCCATACGATCTGTGCAATCACTACACCATGTTGTGCAGTTTGGTAATCTGTTGCAAAATAAAGGCAAAATGAGCATGTTTAAAAATCTTATGGTAAGTTAAAGTTACTGTCATCAAAATGCTGTATTCATTAAATTCAAACTCTTGGAGTTTCCCAGTTATTTTCAGGACCTCAGCAACTCACAAAAATGACAGGCTTTTGTCGAGCAAACCCTCTCCTGTTACTTTAGTACATGTACATGTAAATCTTACAGAACCACTTTGGAATCAAAAGCACATGTATGAAACAATATGTAAATACTTTTTCTTCATGTACATTTATGTATGACACAATGCGCCAGCATACACATGCTTTTTACCCAGTTCTTTAGACATTCAAACCGCATACAGTAGATTCATCCATTTACTGTACAAGCAAGGATGCATACAAAAACTAACCTTTCAGGGGGCCAAATTTTTGGGGAGGGGAACATTTGGCAATTTTGTCATGTAATCATTTATGGCCTTTCTGAGTGTGGAGGCTACATTTTGGGGCTTGTCACATGATCTTTTGAAGGACAGGGAATGGACTGGAACAAACAATTTGCCATTTATTACTTTTTCTCAAGTCTAAATGCATCGACACACACGTGACCTGCAAACATAAGATTTGACAGATTCCAGTTTGATAAAATTATGCAGGCTGTACCTCAAACATGTCATTGTGAAGGCTGTTGAACACATGACATACATTTACACATACATGTATGTTGGTCTGTGATGTATCCGCATACATGTACGTGTAGTCATGTACAAATACTCAAAGTTCAAACATTCTGTGGGATCGTGTCATGTATCAACAATTCAGAAGTCTGACAATACCAGTACACTTGTACATTGTACATGTTTATCTCTCTGAAGAGATTACATGTGTATGTACACCATGGCATTATAACTAATGAAATGGATCACAAATAGCTAGGAGTGTGTCTGTCTGTGTTCTGTGACATTACAAACATCTCATAAATCTGACTTACACGGTACATGTGCATGTACAATATGAATTGACATCCAATGAAACCGTTCTACTAAAAGCGAAAATTAGTGGGTCAATGTTTACATGTAGGCCTCTGTATCTAGTCCAAACTGTTAAAGAGATCTTTTTAGCCTGGAGGTGTGAATTCCTTAATCAATATTCCCACCACAAAGGAGTTCAAGGATTGAAGCAATCGTGGTCATTTCCTGACCCAGCAGCTGTGAAATGTACAGGGTTTTTACTGTACTGAAGCATGACTTCTGCATTATTATTCATCAAAACGGACCGAAAGGACAGGCAAGAGGGAGACCGGATAGCTATTTTGTGATGACAATCGAGCCGGAGAGAGTTCTGCCCAGCAAACAGGCGCCACGCAGGATATCAGGGCCGCTACTTTTCATTTGTGTGGATTGTGATGGGGGAGGAGGGCTTTTTACAAAATGCATGAAAAACACCACGGTGGATGGGTTTCATCTGGACCGTGAAGAGTGATGAACCAGCAACTTCTGGGAAATTTAATCTTCATTGACGACTCTTCCGATATTCCTGCATTAGTGAAACTGAACAGGCCTCTGTACAGTAAATTGAACCAAGCAGGAGAATATACAATATGAAATACAACTGAAGGGGAAAAGGAAAGAGATGCTCCTTGGATTACTAATGATAAGTGGAAGAGACTTGTAAACACTTGGAATGCAAAGTACATCATGTACGGTACATGTACAGTGTGTGGGCGCTTTTTGCTCTAAAAAAAGACACAAAATGTAATTAAAGGATGGTGTTGTGAATCATGGCCAGAGCTATAAATTGAAAAGAAAATAAAGGGTCCTAATCATGTACAGTAGCAATGGGTAGCCAAAGGGGTAAATGGACAGACATGTACAGGCACACGTACATTTTACATGAATTTGAATTGAACAATTCTGGATTACTATGCAAGTAGCCACTTTAAAGAGGTTGCCGCTGGAACCCATGAGATATTATTGATGAGCAGCCAAAATGGACCACATCAACAAGTGATTGAAGACATCTCTGAAACAATGGTGCGGCTTTCAAATGGGTGACCTCCACGTATGTACACATGTATGGTACCTGGCCCACAGACATCAGTTGACTCTTCCACTCGTTTACATGTATAGACATTGTACCCACTCATTTTTTCTGACCTAGAAGCCACGAAAAGGATATCTTACATGTACACTGTCACCAAATATGCACATTCATTCTCTGCACAATGTACAAACTACATGTACATGTACATCATGTAAGATTAAACATGTACATGTACACTGAGTGTGCATGTATGACCCAAATACATCCCACTCTCCCAACTTACATGTACATACATGTACATCCACTGCATGATTGCAGGCCCAAACGTGTTGACCAAGCTGAACTGTAATTATTCAGCGAAACTGAATGTTACCTAGCACCGTTGAAAAAAAGGGCGAGAACTGGGCTGTGACCAGCTGTACAGGCTTTTAACATCATGGTCACGGTCACTGGACTGCACAGCTTCACACAAGTACATCTAATTAAATACCTGATTTCTTTACCGGTATATTTGGGAGTCAGGTTGGCATAGTTGTTCTTTCCTCGCCTTCCACCTCTGTGGTCCGGGTTCAAATCCCAGCCCGGTCCATCATGTGGATTAGGTTTTCAGTCCCTACATGTACCTGATTCCGTGGGTTTTATACCCAAAATATTCCTCTGGGGTTTTCCTCCACCTTCTAAAAGTATTGAGGCTTCTCATAGTCTCCTCTCTACAGGTTTCTTCAGGCTTGCCAGCTACACTTCCAAGGGTGCTTTTGAGGAATCCTCGGTGTCATACCAGGAATGATTAATAATGGTAATAACAAGAATAAGACTAATTATGATTTTCTTCCTCCCCTGCCCTTCTCTCCTCATTCCTTCTTAAAAAATCCATCAATTCTTTCGTTTTACTTGTTTTCAATACAATTTCCTGGGGCATAGCTCGCTCAGGTCGCTTTTCTCATCAAGTGTTTGTCCCACTACAGGTAAAGACTTGTGCAGTAGTTGGGCATGCCCAACGGTGTTGATACATGTACAGTGTACATGCGTACATGTACCATGTACAGTGTACAATGTATGTACTACTGCCCAAGTAGGTACTGCAAAAAGTTAGGCCGGAACAGCATTTTTTTCTGTGACTCAAGCGTTTGGGTTCAACATTGTTGTCATCCTCTTAACCAGTGCCCAATGTACTGCTACCTGTGCCTGTAGTCTGAGCATACACATACATGTACATGTACTGTACCTCTACACAATGCCAGGAACCTTTCCTCCTACACACAGAAGCCATGCATGTGACATATTTAATAAGGAAGGCAGAGGCAAGTTAAAATCCAATTGCTCCCAGCTGCGTCAGACAGGGGAGACCAAATTTCGGGGAAAATCTGAACCACTGGGCTCCCTACCCTCAGGGGTCGGCTCACCAACGGGTCACCACCGGTCACATCTTTTAAGATGAAGTTTCGTCTTCCTGAAGTTCCAAATAAATGCCAGGCAGTAATTTATTTCATCAATTGTGGAGGATGCTACATCTGTATGTACACCGTATGAGTAATCCCTGACTTCCAGATGAACTCATATATCATGGGCTGTGCTATCAGCCGAAGAGGTTTTTTAAATCAGCCTATAAATAATTACGAGTGGCAGGTTGGAGGGTCAAACTAGATGTGTTTTCCTGTTTGTCTCTATTTGTGGTTTGCAACAAAGGTAAAAACCACACTGGATTGAGAAATAAAGTGCTCAAAGGTTGCATTATGTCATTAATCATCCCTAACAAATTCAGCTTTTCTCAACTGCCTCAAGCGAAGGGTGCTAACATGCCCCTGCCTCAAAGAGCTACGTGCAATACTCTGTACTCCAATATACGTCAACAAAATTGGGACCTTTAGTCTCCTGGATGTCACATGCGCTTACATGTACTGTACACAGTGACACACTGTACATTGTACATTCAACAGCACAGGTATACTAGTCCTGGCTAATTCCAAGAATAACAGATTGACAACTGGAAGGGATTTTCACAATTTACTATCCTGATGGGTCATAAATTAAGACCTAAACACTAGTGTTACAAGTGTCCATCTATGGTATCATAGGGATGTGTTTTGAACTTTGGACTTTGCAAGGATCAGGTAAACCTACCTGTATGTGTTGCCATGGTAGCGGATAATGTGGAATAAAAAGTTATCATACCGGTGCATGAAACAAAATGTAAAGACAGGACCTTGCCATCTGTAAATAATGTTGCTTTTCTTTCCAAA